TATCCCAAGGTTGGCCCAAAGTTCATCCAGTAGAGTTGGGTATTGCGCTGCGTGGGTACGTGTTAGGAGTCAACTTTTCCCTCAGAAATAATCAAACAGATCAGATTATCAACAGAGAGCAGGTAAACCAGTGTGGCTGTGCCTGATCATGAGAGTATCAGTTAACCTAACATTCACCTAGGTGTTGGGAACTGTGCTGTTTGGGAGTTTATGTACTGCAGTTCAAGTTGGTGAAAATTCTGTAGAATATCCTAAGTAATTATCCACTTCACCGAAAACTTAGCGGCAAACGTGGTTACGGGAAAATTCTCAAGAAATCTTTCAACACGTATGATGAAAGATACCGAATATGCGCCTGTGGGTACCATAAGATTATTTTGGCCTCAATAAAGTTTCTGCGAGGAACAAGGGACGCTAGGTCTATTTCCGGTTTTATCGTTAGACAGGCATTCTATTATTGCCGTGGTTGTGTACGTAAATATTGACGAACCTTTTGAGTAGGTTAGCGTCAGACAAGAGGTTCTGAAAACGCACGTGTTAATTAACACTTGCATACAACAATCAGCTCAAGCTGCTTTGTTATAGGATGAATATTACGCCACGAGAATTACAAAAGCGAATCATTCATCTTGGAGTTGAAGCAGATTACAAAAATAATAACACCTTTTGAAATTAAAACTAAAAGAACCATGGTTGTACAAGCAACAGGTCCTAACTTATAATGACTGTCATATACCTAGCAGGGGATGTAAACTAAGCTGTCAGGAAGATTAATACTCCGTATGTTATTACCCTTAGAAAAGACACATTATCTACTACCGTGCTTCTAGTCCGCTACAGCTCACTTTGGGTACCTGTGCCAACCCAAGCAGCACAATACCCAATGCCGTTGAGCGAACGTTGGGCTAGAATGACTGCTGACATGTGCCTCGAAAGCTTGCACAGAAGCTCGTGAAATTTCGTAGGGAATATAATCACAAGAGTACCACGATATTTATTAATATACATCTGGGTCGCGAAAGCAGCAGATTTTGTTTTGATGTTTTACTCGCCCTCTCCGAGCCCGCTGAGTGTGCTGCTTGGGAAGCATCAAGTTCAGATTGCAAGGAATATATAAAACAATATAAAACGAAATGAAGTTCATTCGCCAAGATCATTACACAGCTCAGTCATTAGTCGTTCTTCTATTCCGCTATGCGAACAAATTAGGTATCAAACAATTTGTATAAGTATTATTTCGAGATATGATGTATCAAAAGTTAGAACGTGCTTCCCGGTGAGAGAATTATTAGGGAAAATCCTTGTGCAACGGGTGTGTATCATTTAAAAGTATTTATTGGGAAAACTTCGTGCACGATTCAGAGTGTCCGCCGGTAAGTTTAAAGACCAGCTCGTCGAAGTGGATTAGGGAACACGACTGATTATTACTTGAAAGCTTAAAAGAACTTTCAGTGTTTGTTCCCCAAGTGCAGTGATTACTACAGGATGACAAACTAATGAACTTGAGTACATAATATTGACTCTCAAATCTGGAATTAGTTAGTGGACAGCTGGTTGATTAAGTTACTTCGTTTCTTGGTATTCGCACAATACGAAAACTGATGTTCCCATTCTTTTCTTCGCCCTCACACACCGTCGCGGAAAAATCCAGGAAGTGCATTGTCCATTAAGCGATATATTTGTTATTCACAAAGCTGTCATCCATGACATGTGTTCATCGATTCTGTAGCCCTAATCTGGAACCTGCCTTGGTCAGACGGTTGTCGTAGCGGACTTTTAGGCAATAACTTCCAGGGTTCAATTCCAGCCACCGTAGGTGACCTTCCTCTTTTGGCAGCCTTTCATTGGCCTCGGCCTCCTTCCTGAACTGGTGTACACTGTTGTACGGTAAATATAAAAGAAAGCACGACACAAGAATGGGAGCCACCTTATTAATTCACAAAGAAGAACGTTTTGCCGTACTTGTTGAAATTAAAAAAATTGCCGGAAAGATCTATTACAATTGACGCCAAGACAGAAACGATTTGGAATCCAAGCTGGATGACTAAACAAATAAGTTTGTGAGTACTCGTGTGATTAATCAAAAGATTGCAATTCCGAGAACAACACAGCTTGGCGAACAAGCTCGTTCTCAGTCATTCGTGCTCCTTCAGACGGCACGTGGACGATATACGATTTGTGGAAGATACAAAAGTTGGCTATAATCTACTATCTAACTGTTCTAACATAGCCCATCCAAGTGTCAAATTCACTTTGGAAAAAGAAACGCAAATCTGTCTACCGTATTCATATGTTTGAGTAAGCCATCGGAGTGATGGTTCCCTTCAGTTATCAGTCAATAAGAAAGCAACTTGGAACGGGCCATACATTCATCTTCACACTTTCGTACCGCTCGAAGTAAACAGAAATCTAGTACGTTTCCCAGTCATTTGAGCAAGGAAAATGTGCACGGAAGGCAACAGAAACTGAGCTTCGTTTTCTGTCGAGTGTTTTCCTGAAGACGGTTATCCCGAATGGCCTATTGAAAGGATGATATAACGACGTAAAGAGAGTTCAAAAGAGATAGTAGTCGAGAAGAAGCTCGATACATCCGTTTGCCGTTCAAAGGAGATAAGAAAACTGAAAGTATTCAACTAAGATTAAAAGGAGCAGTCAGCAGAACATTCTACGCTGCACGAATATAAATTATTTTCGCGTCCAAACCGATCATGTGTGTTCGACTGAAGGATAGAGTGCATGTGTGTATCCGTTCCCCTGTTCCTGTGGAACTAGGTACGTTGACCGCACGACCAGGAGCTTATCCGAACTTGTTTGTGAACACCACCCAGCTTGGTTGGACACTGGGGCAATTAAGACCATTACGAGTGCTGTCTGTTCACGCCTCGCGGAGTCAAACTATTCAGTAGAGGTGATAAACTCTTTTCACACTATTTACAACGTCCGGGGCAAGCAATCAAGACTTGTCAAGTATCGCTTATTAACCACGACCGATGCCGTGTGTATTGGTCTCTACAATTCTCCACTGTGGGCTCAGAAACAAAATGTGCAAGCACTTAAACGCCCATGGACCACTTCTTGCTCTCGAACACTTGTACAACCACTAGAACATTCCTCACTGTGATCAATGTCACCCACACACACACACACACACACACACACACACGTAGACCGACAGATCTGGGTTGTCGTTCTCCTTTGGCATTTTGTAAATCATTTATTGTTATGTGTTGGTAGGAGTACGAAGAACTGAAAACGAGGTTGTTCGCCAAGCTAGTCAGTTCTTAATGTGTTCAGTGGGATTTTTTGGGCAGAATGAGACTTGAAGATACTGATCTAGTGAGAAAAAAAAACCTTTTTGCATTTATTGCCTACACAGCAGAAATTAGCACGGCATACGGTTAGACCCATTTTCTGTGCTCATCGGCTGTTTTCTTTTCACAGGCTGTTGCACTCGAGCTTTAAGCCCGAGTGCTCTTTCTTAGCCAGGAACCCCTTTATCCGCATTGCAAGGGTTATGCAGCGCAGCCAAAAGCACAGATAACTGATGCAGATGCTGTGTATGTAGTTCGCCTGATTCACTGATTACTAGCAAGTCTTTTATGTAGTTAAAAACACAATCTAAACCTTTGGTAACCTGATAGATGAAGCACTGAAAGCTTCGTGCAGCTTTGCGCATACCACATTTCACGCACGGGAATTCCAATGGGCAGACGGTGATGTTACCACTATCTTACACATATGCACATCTGCTATAGGAATCTGACGATAGGTACGTGACCGATCCAATAATGAGAACATACGAGCATCACTGAGGTTAGACGTAATATCTTGATTATAAGGGATAAGATATCTATCTGTAAAAGTGGCGTTATCACGGACTCTGTAGTTCCCGCATGGTCGCAAATCCTCCGACTTTATAGGCCCTACTTGGAGTGATCAAGGCCACAGACCATTCAATGTGCGAATAATATCTAATTAATGCATATGCTCGTACTCAGTTCGTGTGATCTTAAGTTCGTCGGATGCAAGCTGATGTACTGTAGCAAAAACTGGAGCGCCTGATGTGCTAACGTGATGAACCACCGAGCTGGAAACGACAGGTATTACCGAGGGTGGGTGACGCAATTTTGGGCACGCATTTGGTACATCATCCAAAAAAAAACGCGAATCGGACTTTCTAAGTAGAACTGGACTGACTGGGTTAGAATCAACCGAAATCTCATTCACAGAAGGATTAATGACACGATCAACAAGAGATTTGTTGTGAGCACCAAACAGTAGGTCAAAGTGAGGCAGGAAATCATTACAAAGTATGGAGTTCTGGACCTCTGTGACCAAGAAAACCCAACAGAAGTGCGACAAAGACCAAAATCTAACGTCTTCATAACTTACTCATATCTTTATAGGAGTACCACTTATGGTTTGTAAACCAGAAAAAGGACGCCGATCCACTTTGATTTGAAGATCGGATCCCTCTAATTTCTGCACCTATGTTTTAAGTAGTGCGTACCTGAATCATAATCGATGATGTAAAGTAGGCCACTCCTGTTGTGCCCCGATTTCAGCAAGCAGAACGAAACCGCGTATGACGCGGAACGTGCACTTTGAATTAACGAACGGCTGACACGAGCGTGAGCACAATAATACGAATGTCTCGGGCGAACGTAAACTGCCAAACAAGATCAGTCTAACAAGAACTAAACCACATGTAATTGGTGGAACAGGGCAGTGCATAATGTGGTACAGACACATATCGGGTGAACGAATGTATGGCAAACGCTACAGGAAGGAATTACGAGCGCATGTTCATGTCATACGGGTAAGACTCACGGCATTATGGGACTGATTAAACGATATAGCAACTACCCTGGCCAGTAGCATAGGTCGCAGTTACTCACTTACATCCTCGTTTCTCTGATTCGCAAGGTCCATGGAACAAAGTGGGGTACAATACCACGTTTTAGGACGATTTCTTGATTGGCACCAACAAAGATCGTCAGTTAACGATGGCTGGACCGGAGTTTCTTTGCGGATCTGTTAGGGGCAGCCTGAATTAGGTGTCCAATTGATGTCGCACTGATCGCCTCACCCACTCTGACGAGATCGTGCACAACAGCTTTTAGTGAGACAATAATCAATTCAATTTGAGAGGAATTCTCCTCATTGATCTTCGGCTCACGAGCTTCCCAAATTTTGTCAGCTATCTCAGTAAGGTCTCCAAGACATTCCTCTGTGGACACACAAAGCACCTCTTGCATATCACTGGGAAAAAATTGGGGCCAAGTCCCCTTCAAAAGAATATTATCAATCATAGTAGTTCCTTAAACAGTTCACATATGCCGAAGCGATAGTGAAGGTTTGCGATCTCCAAGTTCGGTGTCTGCAAAAAATTCACTGTTCACTATTTTGCAGAAACTCGGATAGTGTTTAATACAGCTGCTTTTGTGTTCGTTAAAACTGTTATTCTGAAGCCAACGTATTTTACACTTCGTCCAGAATGTGTGGAGCGAGAATTCCAACCACGTAGTGAGATTTGCTACTCTCAGTAGCCATGTTGCACGGAGCAAAAGTTGCTTCTAGCTTCAGCAACCAAGTCCTGAGATTACTTTCCCGGAAAGGTGTAAAAAGGACCGCATGTGGGCTAACCACGGCCTAAAAAATATGGGATCGCTCATAAAATAAATAGAGTTAAATACATTCGGAAAAGAGAAAAACAGTGCAGCGAAAAAAATTACAAAAATAAATTGACGCCGATTTTACTCGGCAAAATGGTTTTCCAATCCTTAAGAATCTACAAAGTAAAACAGAAAATGCCAGGGGTTCACCACTTTAGTATCGCTAGTTACCAGGTAAATAACTAACTAACTAGGTCCCAAGAATGGCCTACAGAACGGTAACAAGCCAAAAGTTCCAAGGGTTACAAACGGACGATGAAAATTTGGTAGGATAGGTCAACGACAAGGTTTACTGAAATAGTGCAATTTGTTGATCACTTTTAAAGATTAGAACGACACCTGAGACAAAATGGGTAAAGGGAGCTGAGGGTCAACAGTCCGCACGATAAGCAATCAGAAGTCTTTTTTTAATTGACAGGAAACCATTTTTCGTTAGAGCACTCAAAAAAGCCCCATGGAATCGAAGAACATAAAAACTACCAAAGAGCTTAATGATGATTGATTATTCTATCGAAATTAGGTTCAGTTGAAGAATTTATTCTGAAAGAATCAATCATATTTAGGTCACTACGTATCTCATTCCATTTGTTGTCCAATATGATTCTTAATGTTTCTACATCTTTCTACTTTACCATCTCTTCAGTTAGCCGGTTCAACATTCCATTCGCACTTTTGGCGTAGAGCATGCCTTCCCTATCGTTCTGTCATTTCCTCTAGTCCTTTCAGTGTTCAGTATTACGCCGACTGGCAAAGCAGTCGTTTCTTTGCTGGGTTGCAAGTAGTCGTGTAGCCTTTGCAGTTGACATTTGTGACGGGCTCATAAGTGCTTTTCAGGGCAGACAACGAAAAGCGTGCCTACTCTGTAGCCAAAACAGTTATCCCAGCCCGTACCGTAAAACCGATAAACAGGTTAATGGAATCTCGGCTACGATCAATCCACTGGGAACCACTAGGCATAGCAGACCGGCTAATCGAGGAGCTGAACAATCTGGTCGTATATACCTCCGTCAGTTTCAATTACCATTGCAACATTTGCTTTATGTCAGTATATTCATCGGCCATAGCAATTCATCTTAGTCAGTTAATATTGTATATATATATATATATATATATATATATATATATATATATATATATATAGAATAAGCAAATATGGAAGTGCTGCACAATACCGACCAGCAAATTGAATGCTTTGCCGAAACTATGAGATGTGCGTCGATCCTGAACGAGATACGGGACCCATGATACAGCGTGCGCAAACTTCCGCTACACATTCGGTGACGATAGAAGTGTCACTAACCAAGCATGAATCGGGTGCACTTTACATTTGTAGTTAAATGAATTCTACCAGCAAAATTATTTCAGTTTATTTGAATTCTAGTCATCTCAGATATTTGGATGTCCGAACTATCGGTCTGTGAGTGACAGTACTGCACGCTGAATGTTATCATATAAATCTATTTTTCGGCTACTTATATTCACATTGTAACCAAGCTCTGCAGGTTTACAAGGGAATGGCTTCGTTGTAATGAACCCCTACAGAGATGTGGTTTATCACTGGAGTCGACAGCTGTGCTCGAAACGGGTTGTCACCTTTCAAGCCAATGACAGAAGACCACCATATCGTGTAACGTATATGTTAAAATATCTTTTGAGAGCCAGTCCGAATAGCCTGATGGTCAGGTGATGGGCTCACAGTCATTCACATCAGGTTCTAGTCCCAATGGGGCCTCGGTGAGTGGGTGCTGCCAACAATACTTATCAAGGATGAAACAACTGCATAGTGGTTCCATGGTTTTCAACAGTGAGGCCAACATTCATGCTGCACGGTGAACTACATTATATGAATCTAGCTTCTCCCGACTTATATTCAAATACTGAATTCACTTCGAACAGTTATTCGACGTTGTCATTCAGCTCTATGGTGTGATAGTTGTCGGAATTGTTTTCCTTTTTGAATGAGCTCTCTCTTCTTCGCCTAAATAGTGATCGATTTACTTGACGTCTGCCTCAGTTTTGCTGACCTCGCTGCTTGAATTCTAAAGTTGCGCAATCATTTTTATTGATCAACCTTCAGTTGGTGTTATTGCTCTTTCTCCTCGGGAGACGAATTGTTTGATTTCAGAATTTGGTTTGTAATCGGTGGAACTATCAGGTTCAAAAATGACCTCAAGAATCACACCTAGATTGCATTGACACCAGTGAAGAAAATTCCCGTGACTTTTTCAAGCGTGTGTTCACCTTCCGAGGTCATTCGTGCCGTGTGTCATGTGATGTAGTCAGTGATTATGCTCCCATTTTGTGCCTCCCTTTCCCTCTGCCTGTCCCAATATGCCCCGGGAACGACTAGAGGAAAACGGGACACAACAGATAAGCGGATTACAGCAACCTGTTGTACGAGAATCTGGAGAATTAAGAGAACATTCAAGCGACCGGTGGCTACCTTCAGTGTGCGGTTGCGGGAAATTGCCGCTAAGTAGATGACAAAAATCGAGGAGAAGCTTCATATTGTGGTGACCTAGGTCGTGCCGAGAAAATGAGCATCTTCTGTTTCAATTTTTGATTTATTTTCTCCACGATTTTTTCTGATTCTTGGTTTCCACCCCACCGTTTCTTCCGGTTGTATACGTTTGACTGAACTGACCTTCCTGAGGTTTCCGTCGACCTCGATTTTGAATCACTTTCACTTTCGGTTTTTGCCGACTGTACACGCACTCGGCTTCCTTTCTGCATCGCCGTAGCCTTCCTTTGCCCCCATGTATTTCTTTTATCGGTGCTGTTTCGGTACCGCGATAAATAAAATACACTCTCACATCTCTCCACCGACTTGAGTCTTCTCTATTCATTCGATAGAGGGGATTTTATTGGTACACAATTGTGAGACCTCATAGCAGACAAGTTCACAAGCAGCAGACTAACATTTATAATATAGATACGGAGTCGGATAAAATGACAAGAGAAGTAGGCAAGTTAACTCATGCATAAGTCATACTCAGCAAAAATTAAAGGGCCTACTTGATTTCAGTAACCATTTTATAGTATCTAGCTTATAGTCAGTCAGAATTTCCATATGGTGGAATTGATTTATTCGAAATTCATTTCCACAAAGAATGACAATCAAAACACTGGATGGGAGGTGTGACAAGAGCATCTAGAAACAACAAAATCGTGCAACCGTTTAAAAATTTCATTGTCGCATAGTAAAATATCTTGGAAGTGGACAGAATGGAACAGAGGCAAATGTTAAACTCTCCAAATGAGTAAGTCTGCGATTTTGTTGAATAGCGGAACTATTATGGCACCCTGAAGAGGAATAAATTGAGTGATACCATCAGCAGAAGCATTTTCTATCCAGCTACATCAAATGAAACGACTAATAGTCTTAAACAGGTGGCATTTGTATCGGGTATGGTTGAGACAACGATCGTCAGTTAAACTACGGAATCCCAGCTCTAAAATATGAGCCCGTCAGAACAGCAGCTTTTTCACTATTCAGACTATTTGATTCTACCCGACTGGAAGGGACATAGAATCGGTTTTCTTCTCTGCTTTCCTAATGTTTTAGTTTCTTTCAGGTTCCCTTGACCTTGTAGTGTACAATTCCCTCTTTCATCCATACCCGATCCTAGGCTATATTTGCAAAGGCTCAGTGCTACGGCAATCTTGTAGCGGGGAACTCTGTTGTAACAGAGCAAGAGAAATATCAACCCGATCGGATCAACCAATCGACAACCGCAGACCAGGGGAAGGATGACGAGTATATCGGAAGTGTCCCGTAACAAACGAAACGAGGTATGCTAAGTCATCAGTGAAGCCCAGTGGGATCTGTGGAACTTGACAAGATAGCCCAAGTGAGTGGCTATCATTTAAGTTGTCAACCGGATCAGTCGGACCAACCGGACGGTAACAGCTGTTAAGAGAATCAGCCTAATACTGGCGGGTTCCTGACCAGAACGAGCAGAAATACTCAGGCACCCAGAGGATTGATGTTGTTAAGTCGAGGTTTGGGAAAGGAACTATGTAAATGGTTGTGCATGTTTTACTGACCGAACTTGTCTGGTTGCTCAAATACAGGTGTTTCTCACCTGTCTTGCCTTCTTCCTTATACTGCCCGAGAAAGGTATTATACAGACATGAATAAAAACCTACGATGAGTTTCATTGGCTCCTTGTAAGTAATACAACGCACATGCAACCGACAGACTTTAGGCATTGTGAAGACCAAAATCACATTTCGTGTTGGAAGTTTACTGTGAAGCATCTTATGACACTGTGGAGGTAAACAAACATCAGGATCATCCCTGAGAAGATTGTTTAATGAAGTCATCTTGTAGTGTATCAGAGATTAGATTGGTTCAGTTTGCGCCGGAAAAAGATGTATCATGTGATACACTATACATAACCGTTTAAGGTTCGACAAAACAGCCTTTTCGGAAATGATGGTAGTCAGTCAACGCTTGATTCGATTGTAAACCGATCTTGAGAAAGATAACGGTCTGATAATCAGAACTTTGACGGACAAACGTTATTTCCATTTAACGCTGTTACCGAACATTGAACACTTATGTAAAACAATCTGTTATCTTTAAACGATGAAGCCCGAATTATATGTCTCAGTAACAGTATACAGAGGGGGAT